AGGTAGGTAGGTAGGGAGGGAGGGAGGGAGGGAGGGAGGGAGGTAGGTAGATAGATAGGTTGATAGATAGATAGATAAATAGGTAGATAGATAGATAGGTAGGTAGCTAGCTAGGTAGCTACCTACCTAATCTATATGATAGATTAGATAGACAGATTAGATAGGTAGAGTTGTTAGATAGATTAGTAAATAGATAAAATATATAGAGAGAGAGACAGACAGACAGACAAACTACATCTATCTAATCTATATGTTTGTTTGTATGTCTGACTGTCTTTCTCTAGACAGACAGACTAGCTAGTTAGATAGATTAGATAGATGGATTAGATAGACAGATTAGATAGATAGATTAGATAGGTGGATTAGATAGGTAGATTCGATAGATAGATTACTAAGATAAGTAGATAGGCTAGATATATATAGAAAGAGAGACAGACAGACAGAACGACTTTATCTATCTAATCTATTTGTTTGTTTGTCTATTTGTCTCTAAACAGACAGACAGACAGACAGACAAACAGACAGACAGACAGACAGACAGACAGACAGACAGACAGACAGACAGGCAGACAGACAGGCAGACAGTCAGACAGTCAGACAAACATACAGATAGATAGATAGATAGATAGATGGACAGATAGACAGCCAAATAGATAAATAGATAGATAGATAGATAGATCCATAAACACAGAGAGAGAGAGAGACGGAGATAAAGAGAGAGAGAGAGAGAGACACGGAGATAGAGAGAGAGAGAGAGACACGGGGACAGAGAGAGAGCTTTGCACCATAGCTTTGCAACAAAGAGAGAAATACAAAGAGAGAGAAGAGAGAGGGGTTTGAGGGACAATCATATCCTATGCAGAGAGAAGAGTGGTGAGAGAGAGAGAGAGACTTACCTGGAATAACCTGGTCCTGTTGCCATGTTTGGAGAGAAAGCACTTTGCTTTTGAAGGCTGGCATTGCTTAGACTGGTGTTATTCTTCATTGAACCTGATTGATATTGAGTTGGAGAGTGACTTCGGTAACTAGTCAGTTGTTTTGTGAGAGGCATACCAGCTGCATCATCAGTAGAGGGATAGGTTAACAATTGTGGGTCTGGGAGAAGAGAGGGAAGAAGTGTGGAGGAAGAAGGGGAAAGGTGGGACCCGACATTGTATTCATTGTCTATTATTGGAAACTATCTGCCTCCTCTCATTCTTCTCCTCCTTTGTCTGAACTCTGAGTCGCTAACGTTCTCACCCAAATAGAATGCCGCATAATTATCACGGTATTTGGACTGAAAGTTGCCCAAATACAAGTATCATGACCGGGCTTTCTATTCGGGTGAAGACGGTGGTCATCCCCTAGAAAAGGCCAGTCGTTGCTAATCGTGATCCATGCACGTTGATATTTTGAGCTTCTAAGATTGCACTCGTTGCAACTTACTTTTTAAAGTTGATATGTAGCTGTCGTGGATGCGGCTTTTCATTCTTTATGAGGCTGTACCTGTTAAATTAAAAAACAAAACGCGAAGAAAAAAAGAGAGAACACACACAACAAACAACAACAAACAACAACGATAATCCCACACAAAAGAAAAGTTATTATGAGTGTGCATAGTTCACATACGTAGAAAATTCTTCACACAGGAGTGAGGTTTATATTCCAGCACCAATCAACTTCTTTTCAGCTAAGTCCCAGTCCATACAAAATC